GAGCGCAGCGATGGCGTTGGCCCACGCGTGGTGCCGGCTGGCTCGGCCCGTTCTCCCCGCCAGGCTGCAAATCCTCGGCGGGACTTCACCTCTCCCGGGAAACCCCATTGGGCTTCTCTTCCCAAGCCCCCATCTCTCTGCTCTAGGCTGGGGTCAGGGAGGTGGCACTGCCATGGCCCCCACTCTGGAGGAGGGAAAACCTTACAAGGCCCTGGGATGGGGTAGGGCTCCTCATCTCCCAGATGAGGGAAGCAGAAACCTTCCGGGAAAGGCAAACAGGACTGTCTGCTTTGGAGGGGGCTGGAGGTGGGTGTCCTGCAAAGCGGCATCACAGGACTGGGGTCTGACCCCATGGGACAGCCTCAGAGGGGCTGGGAACCTTTTCCCCCAGGGTCCAGCATCCTGGGCCCTCTCCAGCACTCATCCTGCTGGGCTGCATGGGAAGGTTTTCCTGCTGTGCTGAGCATGCCTGCCAAGTGCGGGCTGCATCAGGCACCCACATCATGCTTAAAATATAGCTCTGAAAGCCTCGCTTCACCTCCCAGTCGAGCCTCACTCCCAAGCCCGTTTGAGCGGCATCCTGGCCTCCCGCTGCAGTGAGGGTTGCTGGGCTGAGGTGCTTTTCCTGCCCCACTTGCAGGGCTCACACAGAACAGAAGCACTTTAGAGCCTCCTTACTCAAGAACCCCAAAAGTCCAAGAGCCTCCTGTATTGCTTCACCCCCTCCTCATAACCCTGAGCACACGGCCCCTGTGGACAGACACAACCCTGGTAGACACTGGATAATCTCCCATTCTCCTTCCAAGGGGCTGCTGGGGGGAGCTGACCTCCTCCTAGCAGTGAGAGTGGCCGCATGGCTGCATGAGTGTCCTCATGTAGCTGTGTTGAGGTTTCCATGGTGGGGTGAGGAGTCCTGCAGCCGGTCCTGCAGCCAGGGCCTCCATGGTCAAGGGAGATCCCAGCTAGCCAGAGGAGGAGCCTCACAGTCAGGGTCCCCTCTGCCCCACAGATCCTGGGGGATTTGTGCCCTGGGAGAGGCCCGAGCCCTGGGGGCATCTGATCATTTGGAGAGCGGATCCAGACAGCTCAGCCCCGAGGGAGTCACAGGAGGGGGCTGAGCCCCGGGTGGGGGGCACAGAGTGATGGAGTCCTGGGTGGGGATCCAAGGGGGCTGAGCCCTGGGGTGGGAACTGAGCCCTGGCTGGGGGATCCTGGGGGCTCAGTCTTGGC